AAAATTATAATCACCTTGAGCTTTGATATAAGAAATTGGGTTTTTTTATGACCAAAATCAGACCTATTGTATATAAAATATAAATGTTTGTGCAAAACATTGTTTAACAAACCATTCTGGTACCTCTCTGTGAAAACTTACCAGAGAAATTCCTCTAACTTCCCATGTCAAAGAGCTGTCTCCTAAACAAGTGGTTTGTTTTCATCTTGTGGATATTTTGATGCATACAGCTAATGGTGTTTTCTATTTCACATTGTTTGGGAAGCTTAGAACCAAAGCTTAGCTTACTTCTATCAAGGGTATTCGCCATTTGAGTATCATGTTGTATATTAATTTAATTCCTGCTTATCTTCTACGTTTAGATTCTTATTTTTCCTTCTTTCCCCAAAATTATATTGTCAAATCAAGCAAGGTAAAATATTTTCAGGGTAATATATTACTGAAATAATCTCACCAGTTCAATCTATTTTAAATGCTGGAAGGTTTGTCTTTCAACAATGTATGTAATGATGTCGTACTTCTGCTTAAAATACCTTAGTGGCCTCCCATTGCTCTAGGGTGAAACACAAACTCCTTAGGAAGCTGCATGTGACTCTTCATGACACTTTTTGAGCGCAGAACTGAAAAGTTCATTTAAGTACATCAAGTCTGCATTTTAACTAAACCACTTGGAAAATGAAACAAATTTTTCATGATCATATGCTGCCTTACCTTTCCATCAAAATTCTAGACAAGCTTTTCATAACAAGCTTACAAAAAGTTAATTTTGTTTCTGTTTCATTTTTGTTTTTCCCACAGTAGTGTATATTGAACTCTATTTAGCAAAAAATGGTAATCTTAGAAAGTTTATGTAATGTTGTAGAAAATGGAGGGAGAACAAGAGAGTGTCTAACAATATATTCTATCAACTGTTCAACTTTTGTTCTAAATAAACTATGTAACAAATGGGTATATAAGCCCCTAACTGAATAATAAAATTAACTCAGTGTCCAGGAAAACTGTACCTGCAATTCCCATGTTTGAGGTGGTTTTAAGTTAAATGAAAGTGGTAAACTGTTTCAGGAAAATATTTGAAGATTATTTTCAGGATTCACATATAATTTCTCCCCACCTATCATCTCCTCTTGATTTTCTTTCTAGATCTAAAAGACAGAAATTCAATAAATTCTAGTAAATACAGAAAATCATGGTTTAAGACCAAAAAACTGCCCTTAAAGGACTTTCTCATCAATGGCTTAAAAAGAAATTCGAAGTTTTGGAATGAAATACTACTTCTTTGCTAAAATGCCAAAATAGCAAGTCATTTAATTCTGACTTACTAACAATATCAGAAAGCAGAAGCTATGTCAATGAGCATTTTGCAGAGCATCTGTGGGCTAGTAGGGCGACACTTCCTTATAAATCATAAAGATTCAAATTTGAGAAAACTCAGAAGTCAAGTCCTGAAACAAGGACACAGTATTACCAGTTCAGACCAGTGTTGACAATTACATAGGTCACCGTTCGAAGTGATATCATACATGTACATGTGTCTGATTCCTGGAAAGTTTAAGGTATATTATAGTGTCATTTATATTCTTTTATGTAGTGATCCAGTGAGCATTTCCTTAGCCTGTTTTTTAGGTATGCCATTAAATCTCCTTTAAAATTATACGCATACCTAGTCCCTGCCAAGTTGAATGCCATAAATTAGTAAGAGACAGTTATGTATTATGCACAGATATTTATTACATAGGTATGTTTGTTGCCTTATCTATCATACCATGGTTTTCTCTGTATAACATAGAATGGTTTCTAATAAGAAATCTAAAATGCAATTGTGTACATTCCAAATAGATTGTCAACTCTTTCAAGATAGGAACCTAGAAATCTGTTTTGAATCCCTTACCACCTATGTAAAACCTAAATTAAACTACATTGCCAGATAGGACCACAGTAAGAGTGTTAATAAGCCCTATTACATTTAATTGTGTGGTCATTAATGCCATGACATTTTTGCCTTTCACAATTCACGTTTTCACCAGTGCTGTCTGGCAACTGTCCCTACCACTACAATAAACATCACTTTACTATTAGCTTTCTACTAGTTAATTCCTATTGATATTTTCCTTTCGATTCCAGACCAGATTATAAATATCTGAAATCTTTGTCACATTTGGTGCCCTGGTCTAGTCCAAGTCATTCCAGTTTGAATTCTTTTATCTCACTTTGTTCCACATTCCGTCTTACCTCTCAAGTCACTTAATCTCTCACTGGAGCTTCCTCTTTGCTGTTCCTGGGATTCTGCTCTTTGTATTTCTTGATGCTCTCTTGAAGACCTCATTATTCCGTGGTTTCTGTTGTACACTCATGACTCTCATCATCATCGCTTCTCTACTGATAACTTCTCTGAGAGCTGGACCAAGGTGGCCCCATCCCCTCCACTTTGTCCAACAGGGTTCTCAGATGGACTTGTTACAAACTGATCTCATCACTTGCTTCTCCCAGTTAGCAACCCCCTTCCCATCTCCCACAGAGTGTGTACTGCTCTCCACTCCATTGCCCAAGGGAGAAGTCACCCCCTTCTCTGAGCACTGAATGTGTTCTGCTGATACTGTCCCATCAGCCCTGTGCCGCCCTTTTCTCACGTTTGTATTGCAATTCCTTGGGCTTTCATCTTTGCTTAAACTTTCTCAAAGTCAAATCTTTTATTAACTGACTTGGAAGGAAACTTTGCTTATTTCCAATATGTGCTTCCAAATTCTCACAGCCACTTTTGCCAGGTAATGGGCTGTCTGTAAAATGCTCTAGTTTTAGTGTTATTATCATTATACTTTAAGTTCTGGGGTGCATGTGCAGAACACGCAGGTTTGTTACATAGGTATATATGTGCCATGGTGGTTTGCTGCACCCATCAACCTGTCATCTACATTAGGTATTTCAATGCTATCTCTCCCCTAGCCTCCCAACCCCTGACAGGCCCTGGTGTGTGATGTTCCCCTCCCCATGTCAATGTGTTCTCATAGTTAAACACTCTAGTTTTTATGTGTGTCTCTAACTCAGGGTTTTCTGTTAATATTTTCTGTGGCATGTCATGTTCTCAGCTTACAGTTTGTATGTTTTTTGTGCCTTTTAGTGGAGCAGGGTGCACTTTCAGTTTAGAAATAGAAATTAATAAAATGCCATGAAACTTCAGGTATCACATATACCCAGCACCAACGGCACAGGGACATTATATTTCTCCGTGTGACCCACTCACACATGAGCTACCTTGTATTTCAGAATTGAATTCAATCATCTAAAAGCAAAGTTTATCTGTGGTATGTGGTCCTGTCCATGCAGGAAGATGGAAATGGCCGACTGAGATATAAGGCATCCTCATGGTCTTGCTTCTATCCTAGGCAAATATCAGTGTCTGTTTTGATCTCTTTTGATCTACCCGGATGAAATCACCTGCAATTCCATACCTACATGATCACAAAGAAATCATTGTGAAAATCTCTTTAAAATCAAGAATTCTGTGTCTATGTTTTAAAAATCAAATTAAACTTTTTTTTTGTAAACTTCAGTTGATTAAGTGATGAGGACATGGTTCCAAACAAGAGTAGCAGACCATTATTAGGCAGCCCTGAGAAAATATTTTCTGAATATTCACATATAAAGGGGTTAACTATGATGGCTAGGTGATATAACATGAGTGAACTTTTTTTTTCAAATTCTATTAAAATTGAAAACTACTATACATTAGTTATTGTAATCAATAGGACATCAGGGCCACAACATATGATTTATTAGACAGTATTATACTTCCCAAAAGACAAAACAGTGAAATCACTGAAGAAAATTGACTCAGAATGAGGAATACATTTATCAAAAAGTAATAATTTTAATATATGCAAGAAGTTTGAAAATGATGTTTGTCAGTTATAATTGGAAAGATTAAAATGTATTAATTTGATACAGCTTTTAAAAATGAATTAGCATTTCCCACCTTGATATTAATTTTCTCTGAGCATGAAACTTTAAATAGTATATGACAGTATACTTACTCCAAATTCTTTAAAATATATCTCCAGGAAACTTGTTCAGTGTATTGCTTTAAAACACATTCCCATGATGTGAAAGCTGCAGAAATGTATATCACTACACAGAATTCCCTAACATCTTAGTAGGATATTTATTTTTGAAGTGGATTTTTTTTTCCAGAATGGCTGAGAGATATGCAGTATATTACTTAATCTCCCTAGCACCAAGTAAAATTCTCTGAAATAATAGGTTAAATATCTAGTGGAATCATGTGTGAGACACGTTTGCTAAAACCTAGTTGACATTAGGGAAACAAAAATGTTCCTTCTCTGAAGTTTAATGTCAGGATTGTTTTATTTTAATCAAAATTAATATTCTCCTATAATCCCAGCACATTGGGAAGCTGAGACAGGAAGTTTTCTTGTAATTAGTAGTTTGAGACCTGCCTGGGCAACACAGTGAAGCCCCCATCTCAACAAAAAATGAAATAAAGAATTAGCAAGCATGGTGGTACGCACCTGTAGTCCCAGCTACTCAGGAGGCTGAGGTGGAAGGATGGCTTAAGCCCAGGGTTTTAAGGCTGTAGTCAGTAATTATCACGTCACTGCACTCCAGCCTGGGCAACAAAGAAAGATCCTGTCTCTTAAAAAATTAATATTTTTCTAACTGAACTCAATAAACATTGATGAACATGAAAGTATTATTTCTTCATTTAAAATAGACATTCAGAATATAAACCAATATGTGCAACTCTATGTGTATTTTTATATTCCCTAACATGGTCTAAGTATGTTATGTTCACAATTATACCAAAGTAACTAATATTGGCAATTTAGTCATAAATATTTGTAATAACATATTTTTAAGTCATTATTTTTGGCTATTTTTTTTTTGTCTAGAACTAGTCTTAAAAAGGAAAGGATTGAAAGAATGCCCCTTGAAATTATAGAATGCTTTAGGAAAATAAAATCTCTTCTAAAAGAATCTATGCATAGCACTTTCCAAGCCAAGGCATGGGTTGTTTTATTGCATCTTATGCTGTGACAAAGTCCTCTATAATTAGCACATTGATGTAATTTACCACTGTTTCATTAAAGCCGATTGCCTAACTATTTGGGAAGTTAACATGGCTTCTTGAGTACTTGACCTGTCCTTTTTTTTTTTTTTTCTGTGCTACAGCTGTTAGTAGGAAGTGAGCAAAGTCATTCATTGCTGACAGTAGTGGAGAAATAATTTTGGTAAAAGTTATAATACAAGACAAAGATAGAGTTTCACTCTGTGCATCCTCAGACCTTTTCATCTTTAATTAGTTTGGTTTTCTGATGAGACCTCAAATGACAGAACAAATACTTGACAGTTAGCTAAATATTTACCAATTTAAAAAGCAAACTCATATTTATTTAACTTATATTGTTAATCATTTATCTTTTGGAAGTCTGATTTTTTTAAAAAATGAAATGCATTAAAGCAGTGGGTCCTTGATTTTAGAGATTCCACAAGTTGTGCAGAAATGGTGAATCAATTTAAATGGCTTGAGGTAGGGATAAGAGGAAAATAATAGTTTATTTTTTAAAAAGTAGATTAAACACAGTAACGTTGTCAAGAGTAACCCTCTTCTGTGTCTTTGGCCACTGGTGAAGAACTGTGTAAGATTATATCTTTTAGTCCTTAGCCACCCACCCCCAGCTATGTGATGTCAGCATAGCACTCTTAGGGTAGTAGGATGATCAGAGAAAAACTCAGACTTGAATAGGCGCAACAATGCCATAAATTCTTATAAATGCAATGCTTTAGATCAAGAGGCAACTTTATAGATGTTCCCTACTACATGCAGGCTTCTGATAGCTTCATTACCGAAGTAGTTGCTAACACCCTCGTCTGAAAAGTACATTTAGAAAAGAACAACAACAACAAAAACCTTGTTGAAAATTCTGCATAAGCAATTTACATTCTGACAGATGAAGGATAGGTTTTATTATCTTTCATAATTCCTCAGCTACACACTTGCAATATGCTGCACATTAAGTAACAGGCTTTTGTTGCTAAAATTAAAGCGGTTTTCTATGAGACACCTTAGGTAAAATTGGCAATGGAGATCAAGTTTATTTCCATGATTTTTAGTTATTTGCATGGTACATAAATATGAAAATAAAATTCTTGCATTTAGTTGTGGAGACTTTTTCATTTTAATATTTCATCCTCCCTAGAAGTTTCTGGGGTTGATGGGATCTTCATCTTAGGCCCTCTGTCCCTTGAATTATTCTTAGCATTATGCACCTCCCTACACCCCTCCCACCATCCCCAAAAAAAGAAGAGTCAGAGTAGAAATGGAAACCCTGGAAATCCTGGTATTTCCATCTCTATATTCCTAGAAATTTCAATGTTTGGGAATTAAAGGAAAAGACAGGAGAGAATGTGTTTTGGAGCAGGAGACAGGAACAGTAAGAAATGCACAAGATGTCACTAAACAGTCATCATCATAAAAATAGTATTAATTATTAGTATTCTTATAGATGTTTAGAAAAAGAAAAAAAAATGAAAGAAAATAAAACACGCCAAACAGTAATCAAACCCCAACATCATGTTCTATGGTGTATCAATTAAAATGGACTGGAATTACATGCAAATACCTCAAATAAGAAATGTAGAATACCTTTCCACTGATGATTTTTAGTTGTCAGGACAAGTGAGTCCCAAACAGCAGACAGAATGGTCCCAGCATGCTTGTTGCCTTTTTTTGTTTGCACAGTGGCTGTCAATTCCAGCCTTGCAGGTAGTGGAACCCAGCCGGAAGAAGGGGCGGGACCCAGCATTGCAGGCTGAACTGAGAGCAAATTTAAATTACTGAGCCTTTTTTTTTCCTTTTTTATTTTTCTACTCTGCGACAAACTGAAAAGATTCCAGCACGCTAATTTAACCACCCTGCTTCTTCTTCTTTGCCTTTTTTCTTTTTCATTTTTTTTTTTTTTTTGTGTCAATTCTTTTTTTTTTTTTTTGGCTTTTTCTTTTTTTAAAGAGCTGAAGGCTTTGTCTGTCTAATGCAGTCATAAGCGTGGCTTCCCTGCTGCGAGGGGTTAGCATGTAATGAAAAGGTGTAATAGCCTGATGTACGACCTCCGCGTCATACTTATAATGGTTAATAACAGCATTCCTGTCTACCCCGATGTTGCTTCTCTCTGCAAATTGACTATTTGCCCAGTTGCAACCGAGCTAAGATTGTCACACTATGACAATGAGTTGTTGATTGTTTGGAGTTTCGGTGTCCTGTCAAAGAGAATTCTTGACTTTCTCCAAGTTATTCCCTTACGGGGATGTTAACGGGTTTTAATAGGTACTTTGCAGACCATAATGGGTTTGCTGTTTACTCATCAAACAGGAAGTGCAATGATGAAACTTTTTTTTTAAGGAACGCTAATTATCCTAGACTTCCTTAGTTCAGATAATGAAACAGACTAAAGTGAGTGCTCAGTAAAGTTATTTTAATCCCTTTCATCTGTAACTAGTCAGGAGTTCATTAGACAGCCAGTTAAGAAGAACCTACATCATTTGTGGACCTTGTACTTGAGATGCCAACGTTATTCTTCAATGGGCCAAATTTTAATTCAATCCAATTAAATTCAACAAGTATTTCTGTGTATACTCTGCCTGGAATTGCTGCAGAGAATGTGCTTGCTTGTGACTCTGTGGTGGGGCAACAACTGAAATTAGACAGTGCAAATTTTTAGCAACCAGCTTTTCTTACTACCTTTAGAACTGGCCAGATCACTTAAGACATTTCAGAGTGTGTGACCGTTGGCTGTAAGATAAAGTTCTCAAGGTTACATATCCTACAATTGAACTTCTATCCCTTCTATGCGTGTAAATTGCACATGTGAAAAATGCAACTCTGGCCAGTATATTTTACATCACATTTTAATATTATAAAAAATATTGATATCTGTTTTTTTGTATACCAAACATGTCATTTCAAAATACATCTATGTGTCAAACTTTGAGCTTATCCATATTTTAGCCTCAGAAGCAGGAAGACACATGGAGAGGTTTAGGCTTGTCAATTAGTCTGCTTGGATTTGGGTCAAAGAAACAGGAACTACAATTTCTCTTTTTTGTTCTGTTTTGTTTCCTTTAAAAGCACATGTGAAATAGCAAGGAATTTATTTCGCTGTCCCTCCATTGTTCTTTGTAAATTGTTGTAATTTTTATTTTTACTTTATTTGTCCTTTAATTTTGAATAGATCACTATAAATGTAATTGAGAGGTTGTCAAAAACAGAATGTAGTTACCAAATGTCCATTTTTCTAAAAAAACAAACAAACAAAAATCCTCCTATGGATGTTTGAAGGTTGTATGCCATTTGCGTCTTATAGAGAATATGGAATTCCATACACTGGTAACATTTGGTCTCTGGTCTCTGTAGCTATTCTATCTAATTGTGTCACTCTACATTTAACAGCTCTGAACCATGCCGCCCCTGGGTCCTCACCGGTGCCCCAGAGTGCTTGAAATGTCTAAAAAGACCTTAGAACATTACAAAGTGTCAATTGTTAGAATAATTTCTGCCTCTTTACAACAAGAGAAAATGCTGTGGATTGAATAGTTCATTTTTAAAGTCTGTTCTTATCCACTAGTAACTGTCTATTAGCAACATTTCAGTTATAATTGGAATAAATTGTTGCCCAGTAACAAGCAACTAACTCCTTAGCAACTTTCCATGGAATCAGTGACTAGAAATAGCTACAAAGAGCTAAATGCAAGTCAAACCACAGCACTTGTATTTTTTAGTATGGGAAAAAAAAAAAAGATTCATTTCTTTATAATTTTACCAATTTTCAAATTGAGGCATCTCTTCTTCGTAATTTTCTAATTGACCAAAATCCCATATGTGAAAAATAAAGGCTAATAGATCTTTGAAAATTTTTCTTTCTGGTTTAAAATAAGAATAAGAAAGGATAAGCACAATCTCTCAGACTATGAGTGTTAACAAGATTCTGAGCTAGCAACACCATTAAATGTGAAGAACTGCCATCATCTTTTGCAGAATGCAATGTAAAATTATGGGTTTCATTGTAGGACTCTGTCATTTGAACTAGTAATCAGTCCATAATAGTATAGATTGCTGCAGTTAAAATGATGCTTTCCTCCATTAATAAAATATTGAATAACACTGAAATTATGTTAGTTAGATTTTACCGTATCTATTTTTTCAATAAAGAATCAGGAATAGCCCCAAATCCTTTTAACTAAATATAGTAACATCAGAATGTCTTTTTATCTTCCTTTACTGAAGTTCTATGACATCGCAATCTCAAGAGAAAAATTCCTTAACAATAATTCTGCATTTGCCATAAGCTCTTGTGGTATTTGGGAAGAGTTTTCACCTTGTACTTGCACAGGTGTTGAAATAGAATATACCTTATGAAGGGAATACACATTGTTATTTTACACACAGACATATGGAAAAAATATATATGATGTCAGAATAAACATTAAAGGCAACAGGAAAGTATACGGATTGCTCCCTGAAAATATGACATTGACATTTGCTCAATTTGTTATAAATGTTTACTGAGTATCAACTGTGTAACAGGAAGTATGTCAGAATCTGTAGGAAACAAGAAAACCAGAAAAAGTCATGTCTTGGTCATCAAAGGAATTACAATGTAGTAGAAATGCATTAGGAAGACTAGCAAATGTAATTTGATTAATTAGTCTATGAATGACCTTAGCATTGTGTCAGGCTATTGGAATCAAGAAAAGTTGTAACTTTATTTCTGACTACCTGGAGCTGGGATAATGTTTGCTTCTCTCATTTTCTTCAGTTCTTTACCGATATCCACACGTTTTCTATTTCCTGTATTTTTTAGAAAAAAATTCTTATTGATACAAATAGTCATAACACCTGTAATTTCTGTGTGTTTTTTCTGTAAAAGAAAATGGGCAGGAAGCGCTGAATGGGGTATCAGGAGGTATCAAGTCTCATTTCTCATCACCCACTGGCTTTGTCACTCGTAATCTTCTTAGGCCGCTGTCCTCCTCATCTTTACAAAGAGGAAATGACCCCATCCAACCCTATAATTTTTTTATTCTGTCCTAGTGGAAGACAGGTAAATTTTAAGGAAAAGAGATGGTTGTGGCGGACTTGTCTACCAGTGGTTTAAACAAAATACAAGACAATTACGAACTAACAAGCTCTAAGTCTTAACGTCCGCTTTTTGTGTTGAATCGACCTGTGGTCATACCTGCCCCTTGATTGTATACATTCTCTTCTCTTCATTACCATGTTAATGCCCCCAAGACTGTAGAGGAAAATTGCAACAGAATAGTAAGTATTTGTCAAGAATGCTGTTCTAGCATCTGTTAAAATATTTCTTTTTTTTTTTGAGACGGAGTTTCACTCATGTTACCCAGGCTGGAGTGCAATGGCGCGATCTCGGCTCACCGCAACCTCCGCCTCCTGGGTTCAGGCAATTCTCCTGTCTCAGCCTCCTGAGTAGCTAGGATTACAGGCACGCACCACCATGCCCAGCTAATTTTTTGTAGTTTTAGTAGAGACGGGGTTTCACCATGTTGACCAGGATGGTCTCGATCTCTTGACCTCGTGATCCACCCGCCTCGGCTACCTGTGATCCAAGAAAAATAAAAAGAAAGTCTGTCTCCTTAAACAACACTGCATAATCTGTTATTTCTGTGTACCTTTTAAAGCAGCACTTGAGCAATCTGATGAGCTTTCATTGATTTATATACCCGTGAAGCCATAACAATAAAGCTGCAGAGAATTTACATTCATACAAAAGTTTCTTGTGTCACTGTGATTCTTACCTCCACACCTGGCCTTCAGACAGGCCTTCAGATTTTCATTCTGTCACTATAGATTCATTTACATTTTATGAAATGTCATATAAATGGAATTATGCAGTATGTATTCTTTTGTGTCTGGCTTTTTCATTTCACATACTGCCTTTCAGATTCCTACATGTCATTGCATACATCAGTAAATTTTTTATTGCTTAGTAATATTTCATTATATAAATAAGCAATAGTTTGTTGATCTGTTCACCTGTGGATGAACATTTGGGTACTTTCCACTTGGGAACTATTATAAGTAAAGCTGTATGAACATTAATGTGTAAGCTTTAATGTAGGCATGAGTGTTTCTCTCAGTTAAACAGATAGAAGTGAAAATGTTGGATCATAGAGTAGAGGTATGTTAAAATGTGTAAGAAAAAACCCAACAGTTTTCCAAAGTGGCTGTAACATTTTACGCTTTCTCCAGCAATGTCGGAGAATTCCAGTTGCTGGATATCTTGACCAACATTTTGTGTATTGCCAGTCTCTTCAATGTTAGCCATTTTACTGGGCATGTGGTATTAACTCACTGTGGTTTTAATTAAACCTTCCCTGAAATTGAATGATGTGGGGCATCCTTTAATGTACACATTGGTTATGGTGAAGAATCTGTTCTAATAGTTTGTCCAATTTTTATTGGACTCCATGTGTCATCTTAATATTGAGTTGTAGGAGTTGTTTTTTCTTCTGGATAGACATCTCTTTGCAGATAGGTGTATGGAAAACATTT